ATCTTTGTTCGTCTTTTAATCTCGCGCTTCTTTCGCAGGTTTCTCTCGCGCGTGACGCAAGAGTTATCTGCCCGCGCGAGGAAACTAGTACGAGCCACCTTAAGACTTAATGCCTAACCCTTGTCTAGGCAAAAGCTGAGGTTAACGCATGCGATCTAAGGGTGATACATCTCCAGGAATGTACGAGAGTAGAGTACAACTATCTTCTTTCGTTAAAGGATAATTCCCAAACAACGTTGAAGTATCTCTTTTAACCGTTAAATGTCAAATTTTACAATAGTGCTCATTACAGACACAGGTGAAAAGTAGGTTTGCCTTGAGGTCTCAGAGGAACACAAACATAATGGTCTTTCAATGTGTGTCATTTCTTATCTTAAACAATGGCCATCAGGCTTATAAACGATCGAATAATGGACCATGAAATAGTTCCTAGACCTTCACAACAAACTTCTTTTTCTGATCCTTGACGGCCGAGAAAGAAAAAGTCAAACCAAAAACAAAGAAAAAAAAACGAAACCCAGAAGGAGGATCCTAAATGGGACAAGTACGGCTGAGAGCATGTTTTCGAAGGATGCATCTTCAAATCCATCTATACTGTAACATACCTTGAAACCTCGTAGATACTTACTTTTAGAAATAAATGAGAAGAGAAGACCGAGTAATTCCTTTCAGAAATTTCATGTTCGTGTCCATTTTAGTACCATACCTTGAACAATAATCGATGTCCGACTCGACCAGGTACCAACACTATTTGTAACATTGCAGGTGTAATTTCCGGCATCATCCAAGGAAACTGCTTTGATTGATAGTTGAGCTTGGCTTTCATTATTGTGTGAGATAGTCACTCGTGACCCATTGAAGTTCACAGGGATAGTTGATGCAATCACAGTCCCATCTTTTACCCACTGCACGTTAGACACGGTGGGCAAGGCGTTGAACCGGCATGTCAGCTGTAAATTAGTGCCATTGGCTACATACTGTGTTTGATCTCCATCAATTGCCACCTCTGGCGCAACTAAAATTCAATGGAATGTTCTAAACTCTTTACCTTAATACTGTTATTTGGTTATATCAACTAAGTTGAAATTGTAAATTAGCCACCGTAACGAATAAAAGAGGTGACGTTTCGAAACGTCAGCTTTTTTATTCGTTACGGTGGCCAATTTACAATTTCAACTTAGTTGATATAACCAAATTACCTTGTTACCCCCACCGACGCAGCACCACAGTTTCTTTAGAAAGTCCTAGCCTATATTAATTTGTCTTAATACTATGTTGTTACATTTAAAGTTCAATACGGTATAAGCGCAACTTGCGTACGTCCCTTATATCGAGAAGTTCAAACAAAAGAACTCAGAAGAAGCTGAGAAAAAAATTTGGCGCTGCTAGTTAATGTATTCCCCTCAGTGCCCGACACACGTCTTTAATACAGTGAGGTATTTAGTTGCATCATGAGCTTAGCTATAGACTCATTCTTTTGCCATTTCAAGTATTAGTAAGAATAACAACAGAGGTTCGATGGCTTTCTAATTAATACAGATGTGACGAATTTGTGGTCAACGATGCAAGGAACTCAATTAACAAAATCCTTGCAGGTTACAAATATAAACGTTTTACACTCACATTGTACTGATAGATTGGCTGCAGATGATGTAGAAGCACCCAAACTATTATTAGCTACACATCTGTATTGTCCAGAATCTGACGGCTGAAGATCTGTTATTGTTAAACTGTGATTCCCGTCCATAGAGGAGACATTGAATCGCGACTGTACTGCCACACTCAATTTGAATTCATTCTTTGTCCAAGTAACATTAGGTGTAGGGTATCCTGCTACTACACAACTAAACACGACGATTTGCCCTTGTTCTTTCGTGACTTCTCTTGGAGGTTCAGAGATTTCAGGTCCAACTATTAATGCATAAGTAAAAAAAAGTAAAAATGAAGTCGCAGCAAAATCATACATATTTCACAAAAAACTGAAAAAGTTGGCATTTTCAACATAACTGAATTGAATGAACGTGGAAGATATCCATCTCTTTTCATTCACCTCCACCTCGATTGATTACCTCCGGCAGACGTTCAAATGATTTAATTTTTTTAAAACCAAATCAACTAATTACTTAAGTGAATGAATGAATGAAAGCCTTTATTTAAAGAGGGTAGCACTTAATAGCCAGAGGCTAATAAAACTTGTGGCCCTCAAAATTACTTAATTACTTAAGTGTTAAGATGTCAAGTTTAGAATGCTGAGTTTTTAGTCTTTTCAACAAAAGGCAGGAAAGAAAATTAAGGGTACAGAAACTACAAGACTCGGTCACTAACAGCTGTTAACGGTCAGTTACAATTGCGTTGTACTTACATTTAACAGACACAACGGCAGTATTGGATGTATCATTTCCAACATTGTTGCTCGCAAAACATTTGTATTCTCCTTTGTTTTCCCTGCTTACGTTCGTTATAATCAGATTTCTTTTGTCAAGTGCAAAACTGATCCTTGAATCCCCCAAGATGGTTACATCAGATCCTTTGAATTTCCACGTTATCCTTGGATAGCTTCCAGAAGAGTTACAAAATAACGTTACATTTTCTCCCTCCTTGACGCTGACAGATTCTGGCTGTAGTTTGGTGGAAGGCTTCTCTGTAAGAGAGCAGAAATATTTGTGTTAGTTACTCGGTATTCCAAGGAATTATACGACTTTGCTCGTAGGTCTTCGATTGAACCTTTCTAAAGTTCGTTAGTCAACTTTCAATGCTTCATAAAAGAATGGTTGGTATATAAGAATTGAGACAAAGAATTGAATATCTTTTTGAATGCTTGAAAGCAAGGCAAATATTTTTTAGTGAGTAAATACTTTGATGCTTACATTTACGTCTCTTTTGTTTCGTTGGTACAGTTTTGTCTCCGAAAAAAACCAATAGGGCGCATGCGTGGCTGAACATAGAAGAATAGAAGAGAAGGAATCCTTACACTTTTTAAGACACCATACTACAGATCTGGTGTTCGTTCAATTTTTCTTATGAATTAGTTTTACACCGAGCTTCCTTGAAGGCCTGTTTTCAACAATGAAGACAAAACATCCAAAAACCTTTTAACCAGGAATAAGAGAAATAATGCTGTGCTAATGTCGCATTACATGTAGCGCACATGTTCATCTCTGATGTACATACCTTGAACATCCATCGACGTCAATGCTGTCGTATTACTTACTCCATTTGTAACATAGCAAGTGTAATTTCCAGAATCCTGCGAGGAAGCTGAGACGATTGAGAGCTGTGAAAAACTGTCATCATAATAGGTTACAGTCACTCTTGATCCATTGTTGGTCACAGTAGAATTTATTGCAATCACCTTTCCATCTTTTACCCACCGTACCTCAGACACAGGAGGTGAAGAGTTGTATCGACAGGTCAACGTGACATTCTCGCCTTTGGCTATAAACTGCTCTTGATCACCATCAATTGCTACTTCAGGCTCAACTGAAATTCAATTAAACTCGTCTTCGGTCAAAGTGACTTTCTTCACAGCCGTCGTTCTTGTGAGAGAACGAACACCCGGGAGGGAGACTACAGTGATATGAAATCAATAATTAAATTCCATTTCATTATTCCTTTCCCAGAATGATCAAGAACCGACCAGCTAGAGAGAGGGAAAAATCCCTTTGAATATCTGGATAAGGAAGCATACATCGCGTGTTCTCACCGACTCATCTCGCTATCTTTAAGTGTATAATCTGGCTAAATGTACACTTCGGTGAAACTTGTTAAAAGTATAAGAATATCAACTTAACAACGCAAAGTTTCAATCACCGTCTTAAGGCAAGCCAGGCAGGAAAACAGAAACTCTAAGATTGTTGAAAAATTTTACAGGTTTGTAATGTTTGCTTTGTACTTACATTCAACAGACACAACGACAACATCAGATGTATCTTCTCCAACTTTGTTACTCGCCACACATTTGTATTCTCCTTTGTTTTCCCTGCTCACGTTCGTTATAATCAGATTTTTATTGTCATCTGAAAAACTGACTCTTGAATCCCGCAAGGTGGTTACATCAGATCCGTTGAATTTCCACGTTATGGTTAGATAGCTTCCAGAAGAGTTACAAAATAACGTTACATTTTCTCCCTCCTTGACAGTAACAGTTTCTGGCTGTATTTTGGTAGAAGGCTTCTCTGTAAGATAACAGAAATATCAAGCCAACGTTAACTATTTAGTATTCCCAGGTATTGTACAATTTTACCCCTAAGTCTTCTTTGGAGCCTTTCTAAAGTGTGGTATATTAAACTTTCCCATGATTGATATATATTCTTAATATTTTACCTTGAGGAAGGAATGGTTGCTTCCTAGGAGTCGATATAAGATATTAAGGCAAAGATTCTTTGACTAAACAAATTATATGATACTGAAGTCGACGTCAGTAATTTCTTGCGGAGAAATTGTTCTTTTACAGGGCTTTAAACACTAGATTACTGATCAAAAGTTTAAAGACAACCTGTTTGTTTGTTTTTCCTCTTTCTTCTTTCATTCATTTCCGCCTCCTGTTTAGCTCAATTGGTAGAGCGCCCGACTGTTGTGCGGGAGGTCGAGGGTTTAAGCCCCGACCGGACCAACACTCAGGGTCTTAAAATAACTGAGGAGAATTTGCCACCTTTCTATACACCAAATGCAAATATGGCGTCCAATTTGAGTTGCCATTGTTCTGGACTGACTAGCCTCTCACACATGTAATAATCCTTTTGTATTTCCACGTGAAGACGAGGCTAGTGAGTCCAGAACAATGGCAATTCAAATTGGACGCCATATTTGCATTCGGTGTATAATATCAAGAAATGGATAGATATTCTAGTCTTCTCGGATAAGGACGAATAAAACCGTAGGCCCCGTCTCCGGCAGGGTTAGGGGTAGGAGACGTTAATTTCCCACACACGAGATTACTCTGTGGTGGTTGTCCTCCCCTGGGGTGGGATGGGTGGGTGTTCACAGGGCCCCATTTAAACTAGCTATCTGCTAAACTGGGCTACCCTGTATAAATATTCGTAAATACAATACATACATACATACTTTCTTTTTCTTTTATTGTTTGTTTGTTTTGTTTCATTTTCCCGATAAATTTGTTCAGTTGTGTTCACACCGAACGTCTGGGTTGACTTGTTTCCGCAAGAGAAGAATTCAACGAACAAAAAAATTAAGCAGAAATGAGAGAAATAATGCTGTTAATATGTTGTACAGCAAGTAATGAACATCGTATACATACCTTGAACATCTATCGACGTCGTAGCCGTCATACTATTTACTTCATTTGTAACATTGCAAGTGTAATTTCCAGAATCCTGTGAGGAAGCTGAGGCGATTGAGAGCTGTGATAAGCTCTCATTATACTTGATTATATTCACTCTTGGTCCATTGTCGGTCGCAGTAGAGTTTATGGCAATCACCTTTCCATCTCTTATCCACTGAACCTCAGACAGAGGCGTTGAAGTGTTATAACGACAGATCAACTTGACATTCTCGCCTTTAGCTATAAACTGCTCTTGATCACCATCGATTGTAACTTCAGTCTCAACTGAAATTTAATTCAAATTATTTTTAGATTAAAGTAACATTCTCTTGAGCCATCGTTCTTTTGAGAGAAAGAACACCTGCGAGGAAGGCTACGGTAATAAGAAATCAAATATTCATAATGTCACGTTATTATTCCTTTCCCAAGGTCAGATCAGGACCCGGAAGGATTGGAGGGCTGGAAAAAGAGCGCTTTGAATACCGATCGGGATAAGGAAACGCAAATTTCATATTTTCATCATTAGTAAAAACCTTATAATTTGATTTTATCAAATCAGTTGATAATGCAAATCGACTACCGTAAAAAAACCTGACGTTTTGTGCGTTCACATTCGTGAAAGTGAAAGACGAAAGGCTGAACCATCTTATCTTGCACTATTACCTTGACGCAGGACCACAGTTTCTTTAGAAATTAGCCCTCTCTATTCATTTGTAATTAAAACCTTGTCAAAGTTTTGTCCCTTAAGAATTTAATAAAAAGCGGTAAGGCTCTGCCATATTTGCATTTAAGAAAAAATGATACGCGTTGTTATTTTAACAATGCACAACATGGCAGATTTGATGATCAAACACTAGTCCTAAGGGGATATTGGCAGATACTACTCTCACATTCGATAGAAAAAATTGCCAAGCACATTTTGTTAATATGCAGGGAACGGGCAGTGGGTTAAAGAAAATGCGGCTTCAGCAGCCGAGAGCGGTAAAAACATGGAATATAATTTTTCCAACCTTGCTTTCAATTTCTCAATCAAAACAATAGACATATCTTCGTCCACAGTTAATATAAACAGTTTTGGTCAAGTGCACGGAAAGTGATAAGGGGTAGCAAGAAGTTCCTTTTTATAAGCTGTTTGGCGTAATCGTCGTATTAAACCTCTCTATTTTTCCGGGGGGTGGGTACTCGGCCACATAGGTACGTGCCGCGGAATAGGGTATGGTTTTTGAGGTTCTCGGTCCTTAAATAGGGTATCTTTTTTTACCCTTTTGTTTCTGTGTCCATGGTGTGGTCCTTAGATAGGGCAGCTTAATTGTATTATCTAATACTGGAGTGTGAAAACGCCCGCCTAAATGCAGGTTTTTTTTTTTTTTTTTTTTAACTTGATGTATCCGTTAAGTATTGTAACAAAAGGATTTTGCAACAGAGGTTTAATAGCCGTTAAGCGGGTAAATACACGAAACGCCTCTTCAAGCCACATTATTAATTAAGAATATGACTGTCGTTCATTTAATTAACAGAACTCTCACAACAAAACTTAGCTTAATGAAATAACGAGTGATAGAACTGTTTAGCCGCGATTGGAGTTCAATACGAATAGAGTAGGTAGAGACACTTTAGTACGAAGAATCCTGGCTGTAATCCGCTGTAATAAACAGACCGACTGAAAGATATATCATGGTTATGATTGCGTATTATTGAAACTAGGCTTATTCAAGTATTTTATGCTTGATGTTATACGTCCAATGTTACAGAGAAGAAATCAAGTTTTCCTTTTCATGCTATTAATAATTTTGTTTTTTCCTTGAATAGGATGTCATTTTTCCGATTTGGGCCTTAAAAAGGGTATCAGTTTTCGCTTTCTTAATCTTCAAATAGGGTTAGGGTTCACGAACCTTCGCGCCTTTTTCTCATTTTTTAAATCAATTTTGAGTTAACATATGTCAGTGTCGTTTTCCTTCATACGCACGGGAAGTTTAGGCAGAAAGAAATTTGCAGTATTTCCTTTACGCTTGATTGCCTTTGCCTTTTCATGCCTTTAAATGTCTAAGAAAACATTCTCTTCACTGAGTGTTTTGAATGATACTCTTAGTTCAGCTCAATATTTCCTCATATTCCATCCTCTAAACGGCTGTTTGAAGACGTGTTGATATCGTAAGAAGAAGGTATAGTTTGATCATCTCTGACAGTGAAATGATCTGGTAAGCTTACCGAATTTTGTTTAGCGAAGTTCATCAGAAATTTTAGAATACATTCAAGTAAAAACCACAGAGCGTTAAAGTATGAAAAAGTATAAACATTGTTGTTAGTGTATTAATTATAAGATTGTAAAGGATAAAAAAAGGGGATATTTTTAATAGGGTAAGCTACTTTGAAGCATCTATATCTGATATACTGGTGTACCAATCGTGTAGGTCGCGATTATGTCTGAATTATTTTGTAGATCTAAGTGATCAGATTTGTCAATTACCCTCAGGTCATGTCAAACAAAACAACGATTTTGGATTGTTCATCAAAACCAAATCGAAACCCAACAAGCTTTAAAGACATTCTCGAGTTTTGGCAGCATCTTAAGACAAATTGTTTCCAGAACTTGTTCCAGATTGGGTAGAGATTACAGACCGAATGTTTCCACGAAAAAAGAAAAAAATTCGAATTAGCCACGCATGCCTTACGAAAGTGCGTTGCGTTCAAAGCGACACACAGAATTGTTTTTAATGTTTCTCGTAACCTTTCAAAAGTGCGTTTAGATTTACCGATATTTTATAGGAAGTTCTTTTTAATGCTCTAATCAAGTGTCCTTGTATTGTTTTGAACAGAAAAATCCAGCCTTTGCGCGAAACAATCGACAAACTGAATCATCCGCAAGAGTTGAAACTCAAAATTCCTTGGGCTCATTCAATCGTGAACCCCAAAGCTCGATTTACACCAAACATCAAAATATGTCTGATTTGACTTATAAACAGTCCCTAATTTTTTATTTTTTTTTTATTTTTATGCCACTTTGCTTAAATCTAAGATCGAAAATATCTAACTAACATAATTCCAATGACTTTTTGTTGTAATTCAAATTTTTGTGAAAACCTAAAGCTGTGATCAGGGCTGTTGGAAGTACTGCCTAATCGATTTTGCTTACCTCAGTGTTTAAGGGCAAGTTATCATCTTTCTACTTACGAAAAGCAAATTGAATAAACCAGAATTTCATACGAAACTTAACTCACAAGTGTTTACATCAAAAAAATTCACTGAATCGATAACGAGCATAAGCTCATAGAGCACCCGGAAGCTTGATCATAAAATCAAGGAAAAAGGTTAGTTTAAACTAATATCGACCGAAAATGAGCGAGCAAAATGAACTTTAAGATATTTCGATTAACAGAATGCCCTCGGATAGGCGGCAAAGCCTAAAATGTAGGTATCACGTCTGTTTTACAATTCTGCATGTATATCACTACAACACGGATGAGTCAATATCACTGATTGTACTGCAGCATGGATGGATCAACTCTTGTATACTAACCTTGACTTGTAAGAGGTACAGCAATTAAGAGAAGAAAAGCTATTCTAACAACCATTTCAGCACCGAACTGTCTCGAGTCCCTTCCGTTTAAAGAGCACAGTCAGTCAAACGTATGGGCCAAATTTAAATGCAATGGAATGCAAATTACAATTAATTACAATGAATAAATACAATGAATTACAAAAGAACCAATTATAGGCAAACTGACAGACATCATGAAGTCAATCAAACCGAAAAAAGATCTTTGGGGTCGAAACCGGCCATCAATATTTAGAAACTCAGAATATGAAAGAGTTTTAAAAGTTGCTTGACTGCCCTGATTTTGAAATTTGAACGGGGCAAGATCTACAAGATAGATGAAGCTGTCTGATTACAGACATTCAAGAAGTTTTATATCCTGAGGTCACAAATTCCACGTGAAATCATTTATCTTTATATCAAGCAACCAAACGGACACGTTCGTCTTGAGTTAGCATGGTGACATTTTTCACTCGAAACTGTAAAAAGGTGAACGTGAACAGTGGCTCGCAGTTATCTTTATATGTACCCAGTGAATAAGTTTCTTCAAGACCAGAAAAATCTAGGAACAAAACAAAACAGACAAACAAACAAGACATTACCATGTTACCTGAGTGACAACAGGAGCTCTGCGGTCTGCGGTCAGGGGTTGTATAATCGGATATGATCAATTTGAAAAAAAANTGTGGAGTGATGGCTTTTACAACTAGCGGTTAGGATTTTGGCCCTTTTATGGCTGACGATTAATTACTTTCCACAGTGATCTGAAGAAAATTTCTGAGGCTTTACTTTTGTAAGGACAAAGTGATAAAATTTGTAAGGTTTTACGCCCAATGGCTGAATTGTTTGGCTGTTTTACGGCTATCGGTTAACATTATTGAGCCCCTCTTTTAATGAAACTTCTATTCGCCTGAAGACTGTGATTGTAAGGGCATTTTATGCCGGAAAACGAGGGTCAGAGGAGATTTAATTGTTCGCTTTTCATGCAAAATGTAGTCCACAATACTCCCAATCTTCCTTTAATACTCTCAGGCACAGAAACATGATGATGATTAGGATTGTAAGCCGCCTTTTTTGTACACGATGCTTAATCGAGGTTGGTGCTAATTATAAATCGGAAAAACACGGTTCTTGCACTATGGCGAAACATCATAGTTACACGTGACATCAACTAGAGCAGCCCTTGAAACATCTTTTCCAACATCGTTCGTTGCAGCACATTCATATTTTCCGCTGTCTCTCATATTCACATTTGCCATGGTCAATTTTTTGTGACTTTCTGAATAGCTGATTCTGGAATTATTATGTAACTGTCCGGAGAATCCAATTTTGGTCCATGAAATCGTCGGTTCTGGATTTGCTGTTACGTTACAATATAAAATGACGCTGCTTCCTACGGGCCTGATGACAGCATTTGGGTGAAAAGTGATCTCAGGTCGGTCTATGAAATACATTATTGATAGTGACCTTGGTTTAAACGACAATCGATCCAAAATAGGTATTTTTCAACTCTTAATTAAGGATTACGGTGCGGTCTAGTTTATGCGGGGGAATCTTGAAAATATCAATGAAAGGCAAATGTTTTGATCAAAAAAAGAACAAGAGAACAAGGCTGAATAGGAACTTGCGAATGCAAAACTGATGCATTCTTGGGAAAAGGAACAAAATCAAGAGATACTGTGCGTAGAAGTGCTCGATAGACTTCCTTTTGAAGATCTTCAATATTAGTGCAAGGTTAAGTAATTAACTAACCTCTTAAAACAATAGCTATTTCCTCCTTCTTTTTTTTTATCTTTCTTTTCTCTTTTTTTTTTCTTTTATTTATGGTAACCATAACATTTTGTAACTCAGCAATGGTGGCCAAGACAGTATGCAAATCACAAAATTACACTAAACATTTGCACCCGCCCATGCTTAAGAGCGGTTCAACCTTTCTTTCTTTTTTTTTTTGCCTGTTCTAAAACGAAACGCAGAGCTTTCCTAATAATACGCGTTTAGATTTATTAATACATTAAGGAAAGTTTTCTTTAATACCATAACTATGAAGTACTTCAGTTAAAAAACAAAACCGAAAAAACAAGTGTTGCACTTTACTTACATTGCACGTCCAGTCTAATGCCAGTTGAAGTATTATTTCCAAGGCTGTTTTCCGCCTCACATAGGTATTCTCCGCCGTCATTTCTACTCACATTAATTACTGTTAAGTGCTTTTGGTCTGCTGACAATTCATTCTTGGAATTTCCCATGATAACTGATCCACCTTTGGTCCATCGTATCGTTGGGACTGGATTTCCAGTAGCATTACAAAACAGAGTCGCATTCATTCCTTCTTTCGCCTTGACACTCTGAGAATATCCATTGACCTCGGGTATATCTGCGGGAACAAAGTTAAGTAAGATTATTATATTGTTGGCTGAATCGAGTAAAGAAAAAATAACCGGCGCTGGGACTCAAAGCCAATTCATTTCATTTGAAAATTGCGTACTAAGTGTAAATTGCCAGTTAGTATTACCAATTGGATAGTTGATTTTCTTTCTGATAGATTACAGAGAATTAAGCTGGCTGCGGAGTGCTTTTCGGAGTGGGGATCTGTGCCCTCCGGTGTACCGCAGGGGACAAAATTGGGCCCATGGTGATTTGTGCTTATGATAAATGACCTTGAAATCGCGTATCCACTATGGAAATACGTTGATGATACAACAGCCTCGGAAATGGTACCAAAAGAGAGTGAAAGTCACGCCCAAAATATAGCAGATTGTGTTCACGAGAAAATAGAGTTCACTTGAATTCTGATATGTGTAAAGAGCTTCGGATCTCATATTCTAAAAGGCCCGGGTTCTTTGATCCCATAGTAATTGAAGGCAAAGAGTTGGAGGTAGTTGATAGCGTAAAACTCCTGGGCCTTCATATAGCTAGCGATTTGACCTGGAACAGTCATATATCAGAAGTAATCAAAAAGGCCAGTAAGAGGTTGTATTTTTTAGTACAACTAAAGAGAGCTAGGGTTCC